GGGGAGAAGAGAGGGAGAAAGCATGAATAAGGACTTGTCTACACAGTGGTCTAGTGCACAGCAAGCTGCAGTGTGAATCTACAGTGTACTAACTGGCTGTGTGTAATCTGCTGCGCTATGGAACTCTCAGTGCGCTGTAGCAAGGTCCACACGCCCAGTTAATGTGTGCCGGCAATAAGCACTGTAAATACAGAATCCTAATCAGAAACTTGCAAGTCCCTCGATAGGCTATGTCTAGTACTACTGATGCCAGGGAATACTTGCAGGTGGTTAGCATGACTCAGAGGCTGACATTCCAATGTGGAGGAATGTTCAAGAAAAGAGAATAAAAAAAAAGCACACTTCATCCTATCCTAACCCATGAAACACCACTCTCAGTCGGCCACAGAGATTGCATAGGATCATCCAGCCCTCTACTATCCCATGCTGCTTGCGCGTGTGGGCCCTACTGATACTGCAAGGTATGACCCTGAGCAGATCAGAAGTGACTACAGGGTTCAGAGTGAGGGTGAAGGGTGCAAGTGGTGTTCTCATTGTTCCTTTCAGACAAGGGTAGGGACCCAGGGAGATACGGCTACATCCTGGAGGTAAGTGCATGGCTGCGCAGGTGGTGTCACCAGGAGGGCTTCGGCTTCCTTGACTATGGGATCCTGTTCTGAGAAGGACTGCTGAGACAAAAACAAAAACAACCACCCCCAAACCTGGCCTGATCCAGGATTCTTGAAGCTGTTCTGTGTTGAAAGAGGCTGTTGAGGCTTTTTAGGGGAGATTACTGGGCTGTGGCAGCAGTGTTTAAGAAGGAAATCTGAGCTGAATGCGTTGACAAATGTAACTGTTGGAGGAATCAGCCCTTGTTGAAAAGGCATGATGACATCGAATGCTGTGTATGGGTTTTTGTGTACTCCGTGTGTGTGTCAGGGTGGAGGGAGAAGGGGATAGGGTGAGGTTGGGGGTTATATAACACTTCAAAAGTCATAACTGATTACAATCTGGATAGATGGCATACACCACTACAGCCATGTCTACATTAGGGCTGCTATGGCACCATACCTACGGTGCCGTAGCTATACCGCTGTAATCCTGCAACGTGGACACATACTAATGATAGAAAGAGGTTTTCTGCTGCTTTATGAACTCCACCTCCCTGAGCAATGGCAGCTAGGTCAATGGAATATTATTCCGTCGATGTAACTGCATCTGCATGGTGAGTTAGGTCAGCACAGTCACAGGGCTGAAGGGTGTGGATTTTTCACACCCGTGAGCACAGCAGCCTAAGGGCTAGTCTACAATGGCAGTGCTAAAACGCTGCCACGGCAGCGCTTTAACGTGGCTTGTGTAGTCATGGCAGAGCTCCCAGCGCTGGTGCACTGTTTACACTGGTGCTTCACAGTGCTGAAACGTGCTGCGCTCAGGGGGGTGTTTTTTCACACCCCTGAGCGAGAAAGTTGCAGTGCCGTAAATTGACACTGTAGACAAGCCCTTAGATTCTTTCTTCTCTCCTCTTTTCAAACAGCATAAAGGTTCAATTTTACAGCAAATCCACATACAAATCAGATATATACCCAAAATTTAGTAAAACAAGAATAGCACAGACTGAGTAGAGTGAGTATGGGATAGGTTTTCAAAGTTGGACATGTGCAAGTGCAAACAAACCTAACCGGCGTGCACAGGTGTACATGTTAGGCACACAAATTCCACACACGCAAATAGATGCACCAAATTTTGGAAATCTGGCTCTGTCTCATCTGCATGAGTGGCCTCTAGAGGTCAGTGCTCCACCAGAACAGTAAGGTTTACTTGGCAAATTGTTTATACATAAGACACTACATTTTCAACAATTCAATTAATAAATTCTCCCCAAAAACAGAGGATTCAATCCTGCAGGTTTTTAAAAGCCGAGCAAAGCATGCTGAAGTTTATTTAAGTCTCTTCAGATTCCATTTAACTTATGTTTAAAAGTGTGTAGTAACCTCACAATACTAAGTAAATTCTCTTTTACTATATAAAGGAGAACTTCATATGAGCAGAAGACTCTCTCCTACAAAGGATGTATTTATTCTTAAAGACAATTTAGGAGCAAGGTACAGTTTGAGTTCTTGAAGGTCAGATGAAGGTTATTCCCTACTAAACTTTTCTAACTGAACAGTTGTTACCTTTCCTCCTGTAGCAACTGTCTCTTCATCCTGCTCATCTGCAAGGTAAAGAGCAAAGAGAATTAAACTAATAAAGTGCAGCTGGATTACCTGCAAACCTTTGTACATCACAGTCATTTTATTGGACAGGATTTCGTTTGTTTGGGGTGGGTGGAGGAGAGACAAGAAAAAGGAACATGGACAGTGCAACATTAAAGCATAATCTCTTCTTCATGCACACTGAGCTGCCACAGAGAAAGAGGATAAGAGCATAAATACACAGCAAGGATAATTAAGCTCTCTCGATACCAAAAGGTGGACCGCGGGCCAAATCCAGACCGGCAGATGCTTTTGAACGGACTGCAAAATCTTTTTATTTTTAATCATCATTATTGTTATCGGGAAGTGAAAAATGTTTCTCGGAAGTCTGGACTTTTGACTATACTTTGACCAAGAAATCTGGACCTTGACCAAAAATAAAAAATTGACTACCCCTGGCCCAGGTCCTTATATGCAGCCCTGCACACCAGAATGTAGAAGACTCATTTAGGTCTTTAATGCCTAGAGCCCAGCAGTGCTCAGGTATGTCTCAAAGTGAATCACTCTGGTTCCCAGTACATGGAAAGAAGGGATCTGGAAAAGGTAAGTATCTGCCCCTATATACCAAGCTCAGTAATAGTGTAAAGAATGTCTACAAGGGAGCAGCTTCAAGGGAAAAAGCTAATAACTTCTATCACATAAATTTGCATTAGATGGTAGAATGCAAGTACCAAATGGAGATTCCACAGATGGAAGAACATCTAAAAAAATTTCAAGTATCTGGTTTTACCACATTTTTCTTTTTTAAATATAAAAAAATTACAAACATTTATTGCACAAACAGGGGTCCATTATATGAGACAATGACTAAAAAGAATTAAAAATATATAATTTTTTACCTAGGTCTGCTACTGTTCCTCCTTTCACTGGCGTGTTTTCACTGTCTTTCTTTGGGTTCACTGTGAAAGTAAACAAGATTGAAAATGTGACGTTTGTAACCCCTCTATCAAGATTCAATCCTTACAAGCACACAATGTTCCCTAGCAAGCACATCTGTCTCACCTACCACACTAGCATCCCTTTGTTTTATTGGGGAGAAAAGGCCAACCCCATACATTACTACAGATATGCCGGGCTCTCCACATTGTGTACTCCTGGGGGAATTCTGCACCATTGCAACCACACAGAATTAATGTCTGGTGCAGAATTTCCCCCCCTCCGCAGAAAATACATTCTGCCAGAGGAGTGCTGCAGTTCCACCTTTCACCCACCAGATGCCACTATGGCACGAGAACATCCAGCAGCTGGCTGCATTCATCACAGCACCCTGCTTGCACAGCCAGGTTTGGACAGGCAGAGTGGGGCACATGGGGCTGCTGGGGGAGCCACAGACTGGGGTGCAGAAGGGCTAGTGGAGGGGGACAGACTGGGGAGCAGGCTCAGGAGTTAGTGGGGTGAAAGCATTGAGCCAGGGGTAAAATGGGAGTGGAGGTGCAGGGCCACACAGACAGGGGCAGACGTGCCTGACTGAATGGGAGAGGCACGGGGTCAGCCATGGTCTGCATGTGGGAGGCTCCCCAACGCCCTAACAATCCCTACCTCCCCCCCCCCCCAAAAACCCCAAACAACTGTTCCATACTTCTCCTACCCACATCCAACAACCCTGCAGGTTCACTCTCAGGCTCCTTCCCTCTCCCTCAGCTCTGCTGTTACCCCTGACTGCCCTATGCCTTTGCGCTGTTTCTGAGGGATTCGGGAAATACGTTTCTGTATTGTAGTTTAAATGAATTACTTAAAGTTCTGTATTAATATGCCTAGCAAGGAATCTATGTGTCAAAAAAAATTACCTGAGTCTTTTTTTTGTCTGTATTGCTACAGACATACTTGCTGACAGATATTTTTAAATAAATTACCAAAATAATTGAAACTGGCATGATTATATTGTGTTATTTGGACAAAAATATGCAGAATTTTAAAATAATGTGCGCAGAATTTTTAATTTTTTGGCACAGAATTCCCTCAGTAGTAGTTGTGGCTGAAGTTTATTGCTGGTGCACACTGTGCAGTATCCTTAGATCTAAGCCACCAAAACTACCTCCAACTACCATGTTCCAAATCCCATATCACAGGAACTTACCTATTGTACTTCAGATTCAAAAAATTAAAATACGTTAATTACTGACGGCCATACGAACTACCAACACATAAAAAACAATGGTCTATGCAGTCCAGTATCCTACCTCTGTCAGTGACCATACTTGTTTCAGGAAGAAAAAAAAATCCCAAACAAACCAACAACTCAGAGGTAGATTTCCAAAGCCAAATGGCACGTGGGAGCCTAACTCCTGAAATTAGGGACCTACCCCTCTTCTCATTGCTGTACTTAACCAATTGTCCAAGAGGGATTTTATGATGTCCATAGGAGATAGTGTGGTCTAGTAAACAGGACAATGGTAAGACTCAGAGTTGGGTTCTATTTCTGGCTTTGTCACTAACCTGCTGTGTGACCATGGGCAAGTCACCTCTCTAAGACCATAAGAGCTGCCATACTGGGTCAGACCATAGTCCATCTTGCCCAGTATCCTATCTCCAACAGTGGTCCGTACCAGAGCTTCAGTGGAATGTACAGAAGAGGGCAATTATAGAGTAGATCTACACATCTTCCACTCCTGGCTTCTGATCATGAGAGATTTAGGGTTGCCCCAAGCACGGGGTACCATCCTTGACCATCTTGGATAATAGCCATTGATGGACCTATCCTCCATGAATTTATCCAGTTCTTTTTTTAACGCAGTTATACTTCGGCCATCACAACATTTCATAGCAATGAGTTCCACAAGTTAGTTATCCACAGTGTGAAAAAGTACTTTCTCGTATTTAAAACTGGATTTGTAATGGTTGTTCTTTGAGATGTATTCCACATGCCCATTCTACTTCAGGTGTGCGCACACCCAGTGCACTGGTGCAGTCACGCTCTGCTGCCTTATGTTGCTGTGTGAGGATATAAAGGGCAGAGCCAGCCCTGAATCCCCTCAGTTCTTTCTTACTGGGAAATCTTCAGTAAGAAAGGAAGAAGGGTGGGTCACGGAATGTGAGACATCTTAAAGAACAAGAGTTACAGAACAAGTGAGTAACCATTTTTTCTTCTTTGAGTGATTTGCACAAGTCCATTATGCCTCAGGTACCACAGAAATAGTTCAACTGAGAGGTGGGATCAGAGTTTACCTGAACAACAACTGAAGGACTACACATCCATAGCTAGCATCATCTCTAAACTGTTGCAAAATGGCATAATGAGAGGCAAAAGTGTGCACTAAAAACCAAATTGCAGCTCCACAAATGTCCAGGACAAGCATACGGACTAGAAAGGTTGCAGAGGCTGAGAGAGATCTGGTTGAAAGAACTAGTACCCTACTTGGTGGTGTTAGACCGGCCATGTCATAGCACAAATGTATAGAAGAGGAGATCCACAACAAAATTCTTTGAGAAGAGATCAGAAGGTCCTTCCATTCGGTCTGCAACTGTCACGAACAATTGCAAGGATGATCTAAATGGTTTAGTTCTGTCCAAGTAAAACATTAATGCTCTCCTAACATCTGAAGTATTGAGTCTCTCCTCATGTTTATGAGTACAAAGTTTAGGGATGAAAGTTGGTAAATATGTTGCCTGATTGGTGCAAAAAAACCAGTACACCAGCTGCACACACAGTTGAAATGGGAAGGACATGTGTAATCACTCTAAGCAGGGTCAATAAAACTTCGCTATTCACTTTTTCCATAACATTCATAATTTATAGACCTTTAGTCATCTCTTTTCTACGTTGAGCAGCCCTAATCTTTTTATCCTCTCCTCATATGGAAGTTGTTCCATACCTTTGATCATCTGTGTTAACTTTCTCTGTACCTTCACCAATTCTAAAACACCTTTTTTGAGATGGGGCAATCAGAACTGCACGCAGTATTCAAGGTGCAGGCATACCATGGATTTATATATTGGCATTATATTTTGTGTTTCTTCTATTTTAACGGTTCCCAACACTGTTAGTTTTTTTTGATTGTTGCTGCACACTGACCGGACGTTTTCAGGAAACTATCCACAATGCCTCCAAGATCTCTTCCTTGGGTGGTAACGGCTAACTTAGACCTTATCATTCTGTACATATAGTTGGGATTCTTTTTTCCTTTGTGCATTACTTTGCACTTAACATTGAATTTCATCTGTTATTTTGCTGTTTAGTCAACCAGTTTGGTGGAACCCCTTTGTAACACTTTGCTGTCAGTTTTGGACTTAACTATGTTGAGTAATTTTGTACTGTCTGCCATTTTTGCCACCCCATTGTTTACCCCCTTTTCCAGATCATTTATGAATATTGTGACAGGGTCAGGCCAGAGGGCTACAGGAGAGTGATAGAAGGTACATATATTAGCCCCAGATTAAGCAGGTCCCTTTTCCCTGAGCAAGATAATGGGCTGTTCCAGAACAATCAAGAAGTTGCTGGAACCAATTATGTCTGGCAGGCTAATTAGGACACCTGGAATCAATTAAGAAGCTACTAGAATCAATTAGGACAGGCAGGCTCATCAGGGCACCTGGTTTATAAAGGACCTCACTTCAGTTAGTGAGGCGTGTGCAAGGAGCCAGAGGCGCACAAGGAGCTGAGAGTGAGAAGGCATACTGCTGGAGGACTGAGGAGTACAAGTGTCATCAGGAGGAAGTCCTGCAGTGAGGACAAAGAAGGTGTTGGGAGGAGGCCTTGGGGAAGTAGCCCAGGGAGTTGTAGCTATCACGCAGCTGTTACAGGAAACACTGTGGACAGCTGCGATCCACAGGGCCCTGGGCTGGAACCCGGAGTAGAGGGCGGGCCCGGGTTCCCCCGTTCCTCCAACTCCCTATTTGATACAAGAGGAGCTGACCTGGACTGTGGGTCCCACCAGAGGGGAAGGTCCCTGGCCTGTCCCCCAACCCACTAGGTGGGTCAGCAGAGACTGTGGGGATTGTTCTCCTCCCTTTCCCCATGCTGGCCAGTGATGAGGTTAGCTGAGTGAATGGCAGGTTTGAGCCACTAGCAAAAAGTGGCCAAACTGAGGGCTGCCATGAATCTCTGAGGTGAGCAAATCCGCCAATAAGCACAGGACCCACCAAGGCAGAGGAGGAACTTTGTCACAATATGTTGAACAGCACACAAGAACGGCCATACTGGGTCGGGACAGACTAATCGTCCATCTAGCTCAGTATCCTGTCTTCCAACAGTGGCTGATGCCAGGTGCTTCAGAAGTAATGAACCGAACAGGCAATCATTGAGTGATCCATCCTATCATCCACTCTCAGCTTGTATTCCCAGTACAGATCCTTGGGGGGACCTTGCTACTGACCTCTCTCCGTTCTGAAAATTGACTATTTATCCCTCCCTGTACTTCCTATCTTTCAACCACTTACTGATCCATGAGATGACCTTCCCTCTTATCTCATGGCTACTTCGTTTGCTTAAGAGCCTTTGGTAAGGCACCATGTTCAAAGGCTTTCCGAAAATCCAAGAACATTTTATCAATTAGATCACGCTTATTCACAAGCTTGTTGATTCCATCAAAGAATTCTGATAGATTGGTGAGGCATAACTTCCTTTTACAAAAGCAGTGTTGACTCTTCCCCAGTAAATCGTGTTTAACCATGTGCCTGATAATTCTGTTCTTTGCTATAGTTTCTACCAGTTTGCCCAGTACTGCATTTAGGCTCACCAGCCTGCAAGTCAGCGTTACATTAGACACCTTCCAGTCATCTGGTACAGAGGCTGTTTTCTAAACCTCTACTTCTTCTCCAAACCTTTGTCTTGTCTATTTACTTTGTAAGTTCTTTGTGGCAAGGACTGTCTTACTGTGTGTATGTACGTACAACACTTAGCAAAATGGAGCCCTAATTTCAGTTGGGGCTTCCAGGTGTTACTGCAATACAAATTGAATAATAAACAGTTTATGCTTGAGAGTTCTTCACCCCAATGTTCAATTTTCACTATCCTCCTACTCTGAATCATATACTACATTAATGTTTATATCCAACCCCATTTTATAATCAACCACATTTTTGACTGACCAATGCAGAGAGAAAAAAGTAATCAAATTTGAAGTCCATCTGGTAGGGTACCACAATGACAACTTGTGATGGTCAAGGTAAGAGGAAGGATGGCAGAAAATTAAAGGTCAGGCCCAAAATAATGATGAAAAATCTTGCATTTGGGGCTGACTTAAGTAGCTTTATTCACACACTTTTTGGTATCCCATCCTGGAATGTTGAACATCCAAGATGCAGAATATGAAGATTAAGCAACAAAAGCGTGGGATTTCTCTTTCACACATTTCCCAAATATAAGCTGTCCCTGGAGCTCCTCTATGATGGATAGCGAAAAGGAGTTTACAGCCATTAACGTAGAAGTGAGATTCATGTGCCTGGATTTTGTACATCTATCATGTCAGACTGACCGTTTGCTTTGTTGGTCACATGCATGCAGTCCAAAAGAGGTCAGATGATCCTGTGCAGTCTCATAGAACAACAGATCTCCTGTTTGTGTCTAATAAAAGCTGATTTGCCTTCTTCTCAGGGCTGAAGTACTGCCACAGCCTTTTATTCTTACACATTCTGGAGAATGTGCTTCGTTTAGTGCCATGAATACTATACTTCTACTGCCCATAAAACAATTATGAATATTAATTATTGATAAAGTCTGTTGTACCTCGGCTCCAAACTATGTTAAACTCAAACAAAGATGAACACCCAGCATGCTTTGCTGTAAGGATAGTGTTAGGAGGATGCAGTGTATTTCTGCTTTACTTTTCACCCAACGTATATTGTGATGAGAAACATTGTTTTCAAAGGTTTGGAGCAGGAAGTTGGGAATCAACACTGCTTGGTTTTATTCCTGGGTCTACCACCTTGATGTGTTACTTTGGACACATCAGTTATAATCTCTTTGCTCTTGATGTAGATTTTTAGATGCAAACAACCTAACTCGAATACACAGGGCAAGAACAATCTTTAATATTTAGCTTGTTATTCACTTATCTTAACTGAATGTTCATAAACTTATTTCAAGAAAAAAAACTGCGATAAAAGGGGTAATCCCAGTTTCAAAAGAGTGCCACATTCCAAAGCCTTGTCTAAATAAAACCACATGGCCACACAATCCAAAAGGAAGGCTACTTATAGAGATAGTATCTCAAAGATTTGGCTAAAATATACAGTGAAAATATAGTGTCTGCTGTTCATTTAGTGGTCTACCATTCACAAAACCCAGTGCAGCTAACATCTTGTGTGTGAATACGTTACCATTTTTGGGAAGTACCACTTCTTCTATGTTCGGTACAGGTGTTGGGTCCTCCATGTCCTTGGTAAGATCTTCTTGCTCATCCTCTTCTTTCTGACCTCGCCTTTTCCCATACAGTCCTGCTTGTCTAAAACAGATAAGACAAATTCTCTGCAAGTGATAACTTGAAGCTGTAGCTGTACCATATTTGTGATGATCCCACAAAACCTCTCAAGTTAAGAGCGTTGGGTCAGGATGATACCTCTATGGAAACACCTAGGTGCTGCAGGAAGTGGTCTTGGTGGCTTAGGAGATAGTAGCCTTCTCAAGTCAATATTAAAGTAACATCCTAGTAGGGGGTTATGGTGTAACTCCTGTGTCCTGACCAAATTCCAGCTCAGAAAATTGGACTCTGTCCATTTAAATTCCTCCCAGTTTCAAATGGATAGTCTTCTTAATTCCTTTTCTTATGCAGTGTTGCCTTGCCATGTTGATATAACAGCTGCATTTCAGATAATTTGAGGTGCTAAAAATAGCACATTTGTGGCCCTTGTTTTAGTAAGATTAGAGAGGCTAGTGACCCATTTATACACATCTTTTTAAATTCTGCACCAGGCTATGAAGTTTGCAGAAGATGTTACTATACAGTCATGTAATTAACAATTTGCTGTCCCAAACCAAAGATGTTACATATGAAAATGCTTAAAAAGGATCTACAAATATTTTTTTAAAAATTGGATATGGAATACAAGTCTCATTTCTTCTGGTTTTGTCAGAGGACATCTTGGGGTTTTCAGAGCAGTGTGAACGCTTATCTCTCAGCTCGGGGGGTTAAATGTATAACAAAAATGTTTTTGTCCAAAATTTTCATTAGTCATTAAAGCTAAATAGGAGCAGCCAAAAAACAAAAACACAAAAAAGTTTAAAAAGTCAACTACCAATCCTACCCCCTCTAAGTTGCCAAACTTTAAATCTCTTGGTTCCTGACATTTCACTATTCAGAGTTTTAGGTTAAATGAGACCTGACCATCTAATGCAATTAACAGAAAAACCGAAACAAAATCCAAACCACACAACTCAAGACTTTTAGACAACTGAAGAGATAAAGTTTCTTGACACCTTAAACGACTGCTTCTTGGAGCAGTTAGTCCTGGAATTGCCTCACCAGAGGAGAGGCAATTCTTGATTTAGTCCTAAGTGGAGCACAGGATCTGGTCCAAGAGGTGAATATAGCTGGATCGCTTGGTAATAGTAAACATAATATAATTAAATTAGGGCTGTTGATTAATTGCAGTTAACTCACGCAATTAACTCAAAAAAATTAATCGCAATTTAAAAAGTTAATCGCAATTAATCGCAGTTTTTATTGCGCTGTTAAACAATAGAATACAAATTGAAGTTTATTAAATATTTTGGATGTTTTTTCTACTTTTTAATATATATTGCATTCTGTGCTGTAATTGAAATCAAAGTGTATATTATTTTTTATTACAAATATTTGCACTGTAAAAATGATAAACAAAAGAAACAGTATTTTTCAATTCACCTCAAACAAGTACTGTAGTGCAATCTGTCATGAAAGTGCAATTTACAAATGTAGATTTTTGTGTTACATAACTACACTCAAAAACAAAACAACGTAAAACTTCAGCGCCTACAAGTTCACTCAGTCCTACTTCTTGTTCAGTCAATCGTTAAGACAAATGAGTTTATTTACATTTACAGGAGATAATGCTGCCCTCTTCTTATTTACTATGTCACCAGAAAGTGAGAACAGGCATTTGCAG